AGCAAAAATAATAATACTGGAACTCTTGGTTGTTTTGCTTTGATGTAGTTACTTATCTAAGGTGGAAAGTTTTTGTTTGTTTGTTTGTTTGTTTGTTTGTTTGTTTGTTTTTGCTTTGTTTTAAGCTTTGCTTCGAGCCCTGTGTACAGGAGCTGCATGCTAAATGATCTTTTGTTAAAAGGGTTGGCGTAATAAGCATATGCTTCAGCCAATACCTTTGTCTACCCTTGTCTCGCGCTTTCTTGCTTTGTGGTAATCTTTATTCTGTATTCACTGAGATATTTGAATGCTAATCAATAAATCAAAAAAAAAATCAAAAATAAAATAAATTACCTCCTAATGCTATATTTGACTTAATTAGGGTCATATCTGTCGTCACTAATGTTTCCTCTGTTTCGTGGTTGGCATCTTCATGATAATCTACTAGAATAGCACACACCACCAAGCATAAATCAGTGCAGATGGAAATAATCTTCTTTTGACTATCGTGGTACTGACTGAAAAATACATGATAAAAACTGCATATTTTATATGTGCTGTTAACACATATCCTTTGTAATGATATTCCTTATCTGTCACATATTGTTCAAATCATTTTCTTTCCCAGTGGAGTTTAATAAACACATTCCCTTTTGATTTCTGTTATTTCACTCTTTCCACAGACGCTGTATTAGACGTGGCCTACTTGCTTAACATACTTTCCGTTCCCGTGCTTCACCTCAGTTGCTCTGCTCTTACTTCTGTCTGTCTTGTAATGAACGCTGTTACTATTTTGCTCCTGCAAACACCCAGAGTCCCCCCGCAGACATGATTAAAGCTTCTTCGTATTTATTTAAAGAGTCGGTGTCATTGTTCAGCACGAGCTATTCAGCTCATAGATTTCCTTCACCTGTGCCAGATCAATACAACCCATAGAGCCGTTATCTTCTTCTCGCTCGTTACCAGGACCTTTATCATCAGTCGTACGAGTCGGTGTGTGTGATGTTCGCCTCCATCCCAGACTTCAAAGAGTTTTATACTGAGTCTGATGTCAATAAGGAGGGACTGGAGTGTCTCCGTCTTCTCAACGAGATCATAGCAGACTTTGATGAGGTAAACTCCTCTCATATTGATAATCCTTGCCGTCTCAGTCACAATGGAAAAAGGAAAAAACGAAAAAGAAAAAAGTAACCTTCCCCTGCTGCTTTTTTTTGAGAAGCAATCACACTTGGTTATTATGCTCTAAAGTAGCAGGGAAAGCAGAAGAAAATGCCAGCGTTTGGCTGAAAGCCACCGCTATTTCCTGCTTCTTGTAGATGTAATATAATGGGCTCTTTTCCTCCTGCGCCCGCAGCTGCTGTCCAAGCCAAAATTCAGCGGAGTGGAGAAGATTAAGACCATCGGTTCTACCTACATGGCTGCGACTGGACTCAACGTGACGCCAGGACCAGATTGTGCACAGGCAAGTTTCTACACACGTCTGCATTCACAAAGAGCCACACAGTGTTTACTGCTGCTCCAGACAATCTGCATATCATTCAAGCACCAGTGATTCATTACTGCACTTTGAATACATCAGTGTAAGCAAATTAGATCATCGTTCAGAAATGTGGCAGCACTGTGCTTTGTTTAAAAGAAAAAAAACCTTCCTGATTGGTGGAAATGTGCTTAATTGACATTTGCAAAGCCCCCACCAGCCACCCAAACCCCCAGTCACTGTTGCTGCACCTGCATCTTCTAGCAGAGCACATAATGTAGTCTGCAGGGATAAGAGCGCTCTGCACTCAGAATCCTTGGTAATTTTTATAACAATGCGTAGCTGATTTCACACAGGGGCAGACAGAAGCAGGCGTCTCTTTGATGGCTGATTTGCTGGACTGCTGCCGGCTGATTGTATCAGCTGTTGCCAACTTTGTCACTTTTTAATGTTTCCAGCTTGCTGATTTCAGATAAAGAAGCATGTAAAGCTAAAAAAAACCCCACTTGATCGCACAATACTGTACATGACATCAGTAAATAACATGGGGGGATTAGCTTTGTTTTGAATCAAGTGTTTTTGTTCCAGTATTTTAAATGAAAATGGAATGAGAGCAATTTAGATCAGTCACAGCCCTGGCTAGATCATTTGTTCTGTGTAGAGAACCAGGATTTATCTTCTTTAAACGCTTTGCCTTACATCTGGGCATGAAAAGGTTTTGAGGATTTTAGCATTAACTCATTAAGCAGCAAGTTTGGGAAACTAGCTTACTCCTAACCCCTTTTTGTGGTGTTACAGAGACAAGTATTCCCCAGATACTAGGGATGTGCGTAGTTATTAAATTAAACAATTAAATTAAAAGCCTTAACCCTTGCGAGGCAGAAATATTACTCAGTTAAGCTATGCGACAACAAATAAGGGGAACATCTTGTAAGAGCATTGAGATTTGGAAGTATTTTCATGTAGGAAATGCTGGCTAGGTGTAATAAACTATAAATTTAACATTTTATTATGGCCCAACCGTAACCGGCTTAGCAACCTGTTTCTGTTGCTATCCAGCTGTGCTGCTGTAAACTTCATCTCCAAAGCGTTTACTGCCCAGTGTAAAACCAAGCTACTATCACTTTAAAAACATAAACAGTCACAATCTGACACTAGTGTCCCCTGTGACTGTTTTCTCTTCATTACCCTCAGGAACACGACAGACAGTACATGCACATTGGCACAATGGTGGAGTTTGCATTTGCTCTCGTTGGGAAGCTGGATGTCATCAACAAGCACTCTTTTAATGACTTCAGACTGCGGATCGGTGAGAGCTCGTCCTCGTAGCATGAACACGGCACAGATTTCACTTTACATAAAGGTGTGTAATCATTCTGAAATGTTAACTGCTTTGTCTATTTGTAAGGCATAAACCATGGGCCAGTGATTGCAGGAGTAATTGGGGCCCAGAAGCCTCAGTATGACATCTGGGGAAACAGTGTGAATGTGGCCAGTAGGATGGAAACCACTGGGTTGCTGGGAAAAATACAGGTGGGATGTCTTCCAAAGCACTCTTGTATTTCTTGCCAAATTTTATTGAATTTTTTATTTTTTTTTAATCACATCTCATCCTTCTGTGCAGGTAACAGAGGAGACACGTGAAATCTTAACAAAATTAGGGTACATGTGTTCATGTCGCGGCATCATCAATGTGAAGGGTAAAGGAGAGCTGAAGACCTACTTTGTTCACACAGAGATGACCAGATCTCTGTCACAAGGGACCGTGATGCCTTGAGCACGCCACGCTAACCGAACAAATAGACTTGACGACACAATTGCGCACACAAAGTGGCCGTAGAAGTGATTTGTCATTCTCTGTTAAGTAAAACCCATTACCAGAAGCCAGCAGCACGACGGATAGATGATTGTAAAGAACCACTTTTGTCCTTAGCAGCACAGTGTAAGCTGGAGCCAAGGTGCACCGCCGCAGTCCTTCAAGGCTGCACTTAAGATGGTTTTCACATCTCAAGTGTAACAAGGACTTCACTCTGAGGGGTCACTTGACTGTCTAAAGGAGTGCCTGACTCAAAGGGAGGTTTGCTAAATTAGTGCAGCTCTCAAGGACCGCAGTCACCCGTCTGTACAATAGTAGCGGTGTGGAGCTAATTACCCATGCCAGTGTTGCTGTGCTTCAGAGCCTTACACTCGAGCAAACTGAGCCGCCTGCCGAGCTGTGGTTTTTTGTTTTTTCCCTATCTACGCTTGGTTGGCAATGTGAGCCGGTTTGTTCCATTTTATTGCAAATGGATGTTACAATAGTTTATTGTCATTTAGAGCTATTGTTGCCAACAAAATGCCAGCGTGATGGTTAGTTTGCCAGAACCTGTGATTTGTATTTATAACTACAGAGCCGCGTTTGTGTCCCACTCGAGCAGGTGGACTCAGGCGCGGACTCAAAAGTAGAGGTTTCTTTTTTATAATCCATCTGGAACCAAACCAACCGCATGTGTGTAAATGTCCACTGCCATTCTTTTGTTAGTCATTAAACATTTGTATATAAACTGACGTCCTTTGTCTGTCTTTAGTTTAGTGCTCTAAACAGAAGAGCACAATAAAAGATCTGTCACACTGTAAACACACGAAGTATTCACTGGAGTCAGTAGCTCATTAGTTTCATTAGCTTTAAAGTTGTGATGCTCATTTCCAGTTCTGTATCTTTAGTCTTACGCTGCTTGAATCACAGATCAAAATAACCCTTAGAGTGTTTACCTGCTCAGAGCTATGGTGAAGCTCAGTATTTCACTCTGCCATCCACCTTCCTTTGAGCTAGCTTTCTCTTGATTGGCTGCCCCTCATAAACAGAAGGTTTCAACTTACATATATTAGGAACTTTTTACCTCTTTGACATGGCACAGAGCCAAGAGTCAAAACCCTGATAACCAACAGCTAATCTCAATGTCATTACAAGCTTGATAGTGATTATTTGAACATCTGTTCATGTTTATTTTGAGCATCTTTTGCTATAAATATATGTACTATATATATACAGGTTCATAAAAAGGTAACCGTTCATATACTCTATATTCATTGCTCACGATTGCAAAGATTTTAAATCTTTTAGAAAATATCATTGTGGTTTATGGCTCCTGAGATTTAGAAATTCAATACACAATAGATGAAAATCAAAACTGCTTTACAATATAGAAATGACCAACTTCTGAAAAATATATATATTTCTACACTCAGTGCTTGGTTGAGGCTCGTTTATCATTAATTCCAGGATCAATGCAGCGCTCTTATGGCTTATGGCACAGCTAAAATGTTCTTGATCATAGCCTTCACCTCGTCTGTTTCCTGTCTTCCTTTTGTAGTAGTTTAATAATACACCACAGTGTGAGGTACAGATCAGGTGAGTTGACTGGTCAATCATGTACAGTAATAACATGGACAGTAAAACCATTCGGTAGTACTCTAAGTGCTGTGGGCAGGTGTGCTGAGTGCTGCTGGAAAAGCAAGTGAGCATGTCCATAAAGGCTGTCAACAGATGAAAGCATGAAGTTCATTTTAATTCATTTCAATTTAATTGTATTTATACTGCATTAAATCACAACACTTGTATCAGCCTGTATTGCCAGGTTAAGACCCTAAAATAATAGTGAAAACCCCAACAATCAGACCACTCCCTATGAACAAGCACTTGGTGACAGTGGGAAGGAAAAACGTCCTTTTAACGGGAAGAAACATGCAGCAGAATCAGGCTCAGAAAGGGGCAGCCATGGACTGTTTGAGGTTGGGGGAGACAGACAGGACAAAAGACATAATACGGACAAGAGCCTGGTAGAGTTGTTGTAGATGGCTAATAGACTTTGGACTTCATAAATTGGACTAACACCAGGAAATATTATGGGGCGGGGTATTTCTTGTCACTGTAACCTTGAAACACCAACACCTCTAACAGCTCCCTAACATCACTGCAGTTCTAGCACCACATACATTTAAATCTTGTCAAGTTTCTAAGAATAAGAGCTCTATTTCAGCCACAGTACAAAGGCAGAAGCAAATGAGAGCTGTCTGCACTCAAAAAAAAATCTTATCGTGTAGGAGGCTGATCTCTGTTGCGTGGGTTTAGTATTTATACACAAAAAGAATCTGAGAACTTAGTGAACCGAGGAGGTTAGTGAGGTAAAAAAAATGTATTTATGTAAGGCGAGGTGAACTAAAAAAAAACAGTAAGAAAAAAACAGATCAAATGCAGGGAGTGCAGCGTACACTGATGTAGAAGCTAATTTAAAAAGAATGGGTTGTTCAAATGATCAGTACCTGAGAGAAACTGGCCAGCTACTCCAACGCTGGCTTCAACCTTTCAAATTTGCTCCATACAAAATCCCATTACAAAAATTCACATTATTCCTGACACCCAGAGTGTAAAAACAAACATCACACAAGAAGGCAGTCAGAAAACAAAATCTAATCTTTGAGCCATACAGAGAATTCACCTACTAAATCTGGGAAATACGTTATGATTCACTTCAGTCTCGACTGAAACATTATATTCATGCTGATTGAAGAAGAAAATGTAGGTGGACTTTCGTAGAAAATAAAGGTCTTTTCTAGTCATTAAGAATAAAAATCTGTCTTGCTACTACAGTCAACAGTTATGTCAGTGGGTTAAATGTTTACACTTGCATTCTTTTACTAAACAATCTACAGAGCACAACATTTTTTATTATTAGAGTTTCCACAGTGAGAAAAAAACGCCTTCATGCACTGATACGTCAGACTTTTAAGAAGGTCTCACTGATCCGTATCCTTCTTCCACACTCCATAAGATCCCATTTTTCATGTAGATTTCAGATTTAATGCAGGCTACACGCGCATACTGCCTCTCTGTGAAGAGTGTGGGAGCAGGACGACGGCCATACTCTGACGAGGACAGCACCGGCACAGTTCTGGACCTCTCCTGGAAGGGAGCAGCATGGTCACATGGAAGAAGTGTTAAAGCTGCGCTAGCTGTGATGCATGTGTTGGACTTCTCTTTCCACAAAGTTGCATATTTTAAAAAGAGGAAGTTTAGGGAAACATGAAGCAGGAGGTTTCCACAGCAATTATGTTCATATGACAAAGTTACATTGAGGTAATGTCACACACACACATATACATATATATACATATACATATATATATATAACCCCATCACTGATAGGATTGCATATTTTATTTCTATACTTATGTTTAGCAAGAGGAAGCTTTACCAAGCTCTTACTTTTTAGTCTCTTTGCATAATGACATTTGCTAAATTGGCACTAAACAAAAGAGACAGCTGAGGGAAAAAGGTTGTACAGTTTCTACCAAACATTGAAATCCATTCAATATTGGTTAAGCCAAAAATAAAACAACCAGGATCATCAGAATCATTTGGATCATTTAGATTTAGTTATTTTTTTTCTGGCACCAGGCAGCCTTTTTTTAAACAACATTATCTCCTGCTGAAGTTGATTTTTTTTCTTGCTAATTGTTACACACATAGCTGGTTTTGTGTCTTAAATTTCATAAGGACCACAGTGTAACTGTACCTGATTTTCAGGTGAACAGAGACATTAATTTGAGCGGTAAAAAGAAATGTGGAGGCATTGCACAGAAGGAATGTGTCTGTGGCATGAATACTGAACTGCTAGCTGTTGGAACGTGTCCGTATTACTTGCTGAAAGGATTCATCATTCCTGTTGCTGTTTGAATCCGCACGCCAGAGCTGTTACAGATGTAGCTAATGGATTCCTCCATCAGCTGCTGCAGACACAGTTTACGGATTTCTCCATCAGTTAAGACAGAATTCATTGAAAAAAATGACTGTAGCTGTGGTTAGTGACCACACACTTCACCACTCATTGGACATACAGCTGAACACCTTGTATAACATATTTCTGAGCTGCTGCTACCAGGACAGCTTTATCACCTCAATATAACTATTTCCTATAATACAGCTATATTTCCACCTTTTATTACAAGATGCAAATTAAGTAAAATTGTGGCTCTTTGCTATTAAAAACATCACATCTAGGGTGTGTCCATTAGACAACAATGCTATAACAACAACTAACTGTTAACTGTTTAAACCCCAAAACCAGACCAGTGAATCTGTTGCTTTGAAGTGTACAGCTTCAGGTCGATAACTAAACCTGCTACTGTTCTGATCAGTAAGACGGTTGAAGTAAAGGTATTTTTGCACTTAATGAAACTACCGTAGTTTGCTCCTCTGATTAGATTCGATTTAGTCTCTTTCTTATTGCTACGTCCCACACTGACAGAAATGAAAGCTGCCCTCCAAAATTGTATGAGCTGTCCCCTGTTGTCTTTGGGAAAACTGAAATACACATGCTGCTCATTATTATCGAGGGCACTAAGGTGTCTCTGGGTGGGCTTTTTCAATAGCTCTGTTAACACCAGGAACCTCTGACTTCAGAAAGGTCAGGCAGTATGTGCTTCTGGCTCTGGTAGGTCTATATTTTTACAATTACATTCAGTGGAAACAGAAGAAGAAAAATAGAACACTGTCATCATGCTCTAATGAGAAAAAAATGAAACATTTTTAAATTATTATTCTCATTTTTAACTCCATATTTTTTGTCCTTGGAGTCTGCGGCAGTTGTTTAATGCAATTAATGTTTGTTAAATGCCCCGTATTTCTGCATCCGTAAGAGGTGTATGCACTACATTACGTGACCATTACCTCTTTATTTATGTCAAGTCCTCTTCCTTTCCAGTGTTTTCTGTCATCCCGGGGGAGCCACATATCAAAACCCTCAACATGGTTGTGTAATCGGTCATACATGGACACATCTGAGACCTAAATGTGGAGAAGAAAGAGTCCAGCATTCAAAGTATTTCCTGTTGTGGAAGGAGATGCTTTTTTTTTGTCACTTTGGGCAATGAGAAGTAGGTGTTAATAGTAGAGGGGAACGCAAGAGTGCTAGCAAATACATAATACATGTATAAATATACAAAGGGTGAGTGGTGAACCGTTTTTATATAGTTTATAATTCAAAAGGAGTTCAAAAGCACCAACGCAACTTTATTAAGAAAGGAGTTTTAAGTAGGTACAATTTAATGTATTAACCCGCGTTAATATTCCCAATTTCGTTAACTGGAGATTTTGTTAATTGTTAATTGAAAATATAACTGTATCTATACTAGATACAAACTATAACTATAACTATAACTGAGCGTTATCCTAAATAACACTCAGTAATAAATATAACTGGCTAGGTTCTGTTAGCTAACCAGTGTTACCTTCGCTTCGTTGTTAAAGTAGGACATTTGTTTGGGCTCATTTCTTCGCGGTGTGACGTAGCTGAAGGCTGACAGTGTAGCCAGCGGTTTGGTTTTTGCCTCGAGTGAAACGTCCATCGTTCTAGCTCAAAACCTGTCTCAAAACCCCAGAAAAGTCCAGTCAAACTGTCCAGTCAGACCGCAGGCGTCTGGGGTTGCTAAGATACCAACCTAGCAACTTGATGTGCTGCCTTCACATGCTTTTGGAGTTTCGTGTACTTCCGAGTCTCTTGCTGCTGAAGGTTTTAAATCAAGTGTTTTCAAATCAGGTGTGTTAAACCTAAAAATCAGGTTAGTGACTCCAATCTCGCCCACTGGACTTCCATGGAAAATATGAAGGAGGGCGCACATTTTGGAATTCTAACTGTGTTTTCATAACGTTTACAGCTTTTCCTAATGAGAAATACCTCTGCAACATTCTTCACAGTACACCAAAGTAATAGACAAACATTAAATGACAGAAAAGTCTGGGTTTTTTTCACTATCTATGTCACGATCCTGGGTCTTTTGACCCAGCGTTTGAGTTTTCGTTTATTTTGATGTTCATGGTATGTTTAAGTTCATTAGGCTATCTAAGTTCATTTGCTTATTAGTTTCCCCTTGTGTTTTTAACCCCTGTTAAGTCTCCCTTGCCCTTCATGTGTTTCATGTTTGTGTGTCTTGTGTTGTCAAGTTCATGTTCTCATGTCTGCATCTCATTATGTTCCCTGTTTTATTTTGAAGAAGTCCTGTGTTCCTGTGTTCTGTGTTTAGTTTTAGTTTAGTTTTCAGTCATTCCTTGTCAGGTCGTCTGCTCGTCACGTCGCATCTTCAGGTATCCATGTCAGTTCACCATGTTTCGGGTTTTTTCATGTTTTAGTTTTAGTTCACCCAGTTTAGGTTATTATTTAGTTTCACCCATGCCCTTTGTTTGTATTTATTTTGCCAGCCTTAATAAACTGCTTGTTTTCTGTTAATCCACGTCACGTTTCATAGTTTTGGTCTGCACTTGAGTCCTTTTTAGCAACACAGTCAGACTGTGACAATCTACTATAGAAATTTCTGTCTTTTTACAATATGCTCATGCTAAAATAATTAATAAAATAGGACCTTATTGTGAATTAACAATAACTTTGCCTTCTTTTTAGTTACAGTACAGTCTGTGGTGTGAGCTACTAAAACCTTTTCTGTAATTTGACAGGTATACCTTTAACAATTAAGCCCCAAAGAGTCGTGCAGACAGATTTCCTTCATGAAATAGAGCCACATGTCTTTATCATGAAGTAAAACGTGAGATGTGTTGTTGAAGTTCCTCCTTTTTCTTATATTGAGATTTTTGCAGGAAGTCAGTGTGGAGTTAAACCTCTGAAAAATGAGTTTGACATCCCTGTTTTACACAGCTAACTCAACTGAGTTTGTTCTGTGTGTGTGTGTGTGTGTGTGTGTGTGTGTGTGTGTGTGTGTGTGTGTGTGTGTGTGTGTGTGTGTGTGTGTTATTAGTACGAGATCCCAACGCGCAATAAATCATTGTGACACATGGATGTATGTTGGTACCAAACTATCAGCTGCGAGGGGATATTTCCAGTGGCTGCTTTTGGCCTTTGGACACATTTTGAAAGTCACACTCTGTTAAACGACCTCTTGGGGAAATCGTTACTGGTGTCTAATTTTCTGACTTCTCAGCTATTGTGACTGGAAGAAGATACCAAACCACGGGGGCTTTTCTTATTAACTGTCACAGCTGCATTAACGCAGCCATTAATTATCAACAATTCTATAATTGCTCATTTGCAACTCGTGGAGAGGCCAGTACGATCTTGTGATTTCATTTGTTTATGAAACTGGTTTATGGTGCACCATATTTTCTAACTAAAGTTAAAGACAGGAAGGTCTACTGACCCAAATTCTATAAATGACTGAAAGCCTGCTGTTCTCAGCCGGTACACAGTTGAATTACTGCTACAAGGTTGTTAAGAGTCAGCGGTGGAAAATCAAATGATGGCACATCTTTGCACAGCTGCATCACTGTCTTCCTTTATGCTAATAACACTTGTCCCTCGGAGGCCCTTCAGAAGGTCTCTCACTGCATCTGCTGTGTGAGTCTGGCAGCAGAATTAGTTTATAACAGCGGACAGATTACGCCTCAAGCGCGGTGTGGTGTATGCGGTTATGTTACGGCTGACAAGGAAGCCCAATTTGCTGGGGCTTCAGATTAAGTATAAATAACCTCTCAGTCCTTCAGCACTGCATAAAGATACAGATGGTGCACCTCGAGTTCATCGTGGCAGACTGATTTCAGAGGCTAAACCGAGAAAGCTGCTAGAAATACAAGACTTCAAACATAGTTTTTGAAGGTCTCAACCCTGAAGATGGATTTTCAGAAAAGCTACAGTTAGTGTGCAACGGGGACTAACTCTCCCTGAACCTTTAGTTCTAGTGTCAAAATGACATTTGTTCAATCACACGGGACAGCAGTCATAGCCCTGAACAGACCAACACATAAACTGTCAGTACCAAAATAACACATTCGGTGAAAACGAAACAAAGCATTGCCTACTGTACACAATACTATATCACATACAACAGGACATACATACAATACAACAGTGCTGTGGATTAGTGGACATCCAGGCCCTCTAGTTTGATCACAGATTCTCTTCAGTGCTATTCTTTGCATTCCTTAGGGAGGAAGAGCTGGAGAGTGCACCACAACTATCTTCTGTGCCTTCTTGTGTTCTGTTGTCTCTCACATCCTCACTCCTCTTCTACAGGCAGGAAGAGGACAAGGCGTGCCCCCTAAACTGTTTATCAAAACTGTCTGTTACTTGTGTACGTGGAATAAAAAGAATCTTTCACTTCTCTCATTTTAGGACATTCTGGCACAAACGAAGTCTGGAAGGAATACGTGGGTAATATTTCAATCTGCTGAATAGTTCTCCTCTCCAAAATATGTTGGCATTGTTTATTATTTAAGTGTGAGTGCAGAGTGGAGTCCATCTAGTCTTCAAAGTCTGCGAGTCACTTATGTGAGTCTCGTAAAACATATTCATACAGCGTTACTGCAACGGCACCTCAACAGCTGGTTTACAGCGAAACATTGCGGGGTCTGCTCAGGTGAACAGCAGCTACCCATCCAGGAGGAAGCCCAATTAGGTACACCTGTTGAACTCATTATTAATGTTAATATCTGATCAGTTAACCACATGGCAGGACCCCATGGTTTCCCTAGTAAACCAATGGGGTCGGCTCTGACCCCATGGGTTCTCCAGGGTTAATGCATTTATCCATGGAGACATGCCTGGTGAAGTTTAAATTGAGCATCAGAAAGGAGAAGAAAGGTCATTAAAGTGACTTTGAATGTATTATTGTTGCTGTTGCCAGATGAGCTGGTCTGAGGATTTCAGAAGCTGCTGATCTACTGGGATTTTCACACTTTAGGCCTCTTTGTACCAACTGAGCCTCATTTAAACATCACAGCCTCTCTGAGTATTGATGCTGACCATCTTTGGATGGCTGCTTCCAAATAATCATCTCAAACTGGTTTCCTGAACACGACAGTGTTCAGGAAACCAGTTTGAGACGGCCTCCTCCTACTGTGGAGGCCGTTTGAGGCTGTACTCAAACGACCTCCACAGTAGAGCATCTTTGGGTTGAGCTGGAGTGGGGGACTCAGATCGTGGATGTGCAGCTGTAAAATCTGCATTAAAACATGAAAAGGGGTCCAGCCTAGTATTTGCAAGGTATACCTAATAAATTGGTCACTTAGTCAGTTTAGAAAGGAGAAGGAAAGAGAATAGAAGATACAGAAGAGTGCAGAGGATGGATGTGTGTGCTGTGGGTGGAGGGGGCTGTTTATTATAATTTATTGAACTGTGACCATTGGATGAAAGATATTTTTCCTTGGGTGTCAGTTTGGCTCACTGGTCGAGGAGCGAACCTGCTGCCAGCTGCCGATCGGCCCCGATCTGAGGCCGTCTGCTGTATGCCTCCGCCTGCCCTCCCTTTCTATCTGCTCATCACTGCTCAACTGTCAGTTAAAAGCAAAATTCAAACATAAATATTTAAAAAAGGCAAATATTTTTCCTCTCAGTTTATGCAAACACAAGTGCTCTTTTTTCTAAATATAGCAACGTGCTGTGGAAATCAGCATCTTAAGAGTATTCCCTCTGATCCACGACAGAGGTTAGTTTTATTTAGAAATGTCCTCGTTTAAAGACAGCACACTCGGTGTCAGTGAAGGAGCACTCTTCCAGATTCCTTCTCAAACATTTTGATCACCCCGGGTTATATGTTGTCAAAATGTGCTGTCATTTTGGAGGAAACGGTTTATTCAGTGACTCAAAAACGTCACTTTGACACCATGGAGGAAAGATTCTGGGCGAGTTACAGCCTTTCCCAGGTTAATGCTGGTGTTTTGTTGAATCTCCTGCGTGCTGCTGTTGTATTTTATACCACTGACCCCTGCAGATTTTGACAGTTATACAGAGAAATGTCAGCACATATTGGAACGCTGTCTGTTTTCTTCAGATGTGCGACCAATATTGGTCCATCCAAATTATAGACAACTCAGTCACCTGTCTACATTTCCTAAAACATTTGCACGTGCTACCAAAGCAGTCTCTTTATGATGGGACAAAACACTAACTTTTGCACAGAAAGCTTCTCGCACATGCACGCTTTAATCTATCAGTGTGCAGAGTGTGCACGTGTGTGTCTTGCACAGTAATAGTCAACTGAAAGAAAGCTTTTTGTTAGAGACATGACAGTCCAGTTAACCTCTCAGCCTTTTTCCATTTAGCAGCCGTGATGCACTGACACACCTTCTGTTTCTGTGGCTGTGCCAGTCTCACCCACCCTTTTGTCTTTCTCTCCTTCCACGTAACTGTTACGGAGGAGCAGGAGACGGCCAATGAGAGGACACCGTTCTGCTGTTAGCTGGCCCTGACTGCAGCAGATCTGGGGAGCCCGGGTTCTGACGCAGAGGTTCGGTGGCACAGTTCAATAG